CTAGATCAGACATCAAAAGTGTAATGGTGACACTGCTTGAATGTGAAATCATCTTTGTGAGTAGCAGCAAAAAAGAAATGTCACGAAAGATGTCACAAAGAGAACCAAAGCCTTGAAGATAAAAAAGCTACAGCTGGCATGCCCCAATATGTATTAATAATCCCAGGACTCAACACATGTTCAATCTTGTATATCCACAACAGGCGGGAGGTTGGGGAGAGGCTTTATTAATCATGATGAACCAACAATTTGCTGTTTACCCTGACAAGCAGCCCCACCAGCTCTAATCCAATGCCCTCCGCAGCTGGAATGGCACCACCCGCCGCCACAAAAATACACACACTCACTCAGATGAAAGCAATCTCATCTCCTCTTCATCATGACTCATTGACACGTGTGCTCTCCTCAGTTTGCTGTGATTCAGCCTGGTGTTTGTTCCAGAGGAATCGTTTATCTAAATCAATTTACATGTGGATGTGTGACCTCCAAAGATGTCTCAGGTCTTATGTTTAGGATATGCAGAACACACTTTAGTCCAATTAGTCAAACAAATATAATTCATTCAGTACTGCACTGAATGAATTGAAGATGACGTTGTTAAGAATAAGGCTTGTATTGTCAGTCAGTAGTAGTTCAGTTACATGGCACAGAAGTCCTTTTTTTGTATTAAAAATCATGCTTTTTAATTGTAATGCCACCTTGAGGACAGATCCCCTACGACCTGTACAGTTCAGTCTTTACTGTACATTCTGCCAATGTGAAATAATATAAGTGTCTGCAAGATTTATTTGAATTGCTTCAGAGATGATTCTCAATAATTGCTCAGTATATGTCTATATTACTCAATGATATTATCCTATCGATACACCGCACCGGGCGGTCGATAAGGAATCTAACAAACTTGAGGATTTCATGAAATGTGCTGCTTTTTTTGAGCTGGTACGAGATGAGTATTGATTCTAATTACAGAAGCAAAGATCCAGATAAACAGTGCATTTCAAATTCCTGGCACAAAATGTCAAGCCCCGAGCACGCCATGTAACCTTGGTGAGCTTTTTAATCCAGATGCAAATTTTGAAAGCGCATCAAAAATATCAACAGAACTGCCTTTAATCATCTCAGAGATGATGTACAACCAGTTCTCTTCCCTGCCAGATACGGGTGCATAATCTCATTAACCATGGGGATCCTGGCAAAGATCTCTGCTGACAGCTTGTGGTATGAATGCAATTAAGCAATTAGATATTACACAAACCAACAGGCCTACCTGCTGTTTGTTTATGATTATTGTCTTCAGCGATCATGGTGCTGTATGTTAAACTAAAATAAAAACGAATTTACACTGAAAAGGTTCAGCTGGATGAGAAAGATTTAGTCGAGTGTTTGTTGTTTGTTGTGCTACGTTTGTTTCAAAGGGAAATGTCAACAAGCCATAAGAGCATGGAGAGAGCTGTAATGAGTTGGCAAGATGAGACCTTACCTGAGAGAAAACAGAGAGAAGAAAACATCTAGCTAATTGAATCCCTGGTGAGTGGGCTCGTTAAACCTTCCAGTTAGAACAGAGCACCGATGAAAGACAACCAGAATCTTCTTAACCCAAGGCCAATCTACTAGACGCCCCCTCACTCTGGCTACGACCAACCTTCTCTATACCTATAATCACACGTAATAAACATTCTTGAAATGTTATATCCTCGCTTTGTTTACACCATATACACCGGAAAGTCCAGGCACATGAATGCACTCAAAATACATACATATTTTTTTATTCTTTTGTTATCTCCCTGTATACCTTGAAAGATGAATATTGCATTCTTTGCTTCTCTGCCTCACAGCCCACGAGCATTCCTGCAGGCCTTTCAAAGATTACAACAGTTCAGTTTGGGGTCAGCGTCGGGGAGTGGAGGTCGGCCGCCGGTCTGCGCTCCAGGCGAAGAGAAAGACGAGAACAGACAAAAGCTGCCTTTAGGACAGTGCATCAATTGGCCATTCACAGGGGAATGAGTCAATTCCATAGAAAGGAGTCAGAGAGCCATGAGTCAGACGCCATGCATGTGTAGGTAGTCGGTTTGAATGTTTGTTGAGGTTGAACATTTGAGACCGCCAGAGGAGAGTACGGACTGTTGATCGCAGAAAGCTGTTATTCACAGAGACATCATTCAGCTGCCGCAGTCTTTTTTTTTTTCTTCTTACACCGTCTTCTAGCTCTATGTTCACAGTCACACTTTAATTAATTTGGACATTTGGAGACTATAGTGAGAACTATTTTGAAACAGAACGTTATTGCCATTGGCTGGAATCTTATCATAGCATCAGATGTCTGCTCCAGATACGTCCCAGACATTAGCGGCATTGATTGTCTGTCTATCAAGATAATCTGCTGCGGGATGTCCTGCTGTGTCAGTCGTCCCGTCCCCTACATGATATCAAACATAGCCTGCAGTGAAACGTTCCAGGCCTACTAACACGCTGCCAAGCTCGCCCTGACACTTCTCTTTCATTAGCATCCCATCTGATGAGCTCATTTCCACGCCAACACTGTTATCCCGAGCCAAGCCTGGAGACAGACACGCATATGCTGCCTAACACACACAGGCCCCCACATTTCCACCCACTGCTCGGGGAGCTGTTTGATTCGTCAGTTTATCATTTTTGTCAGTGAGGGGGAAGTTGAACGTCCGAAAGCTATCGATTGTTCCCATCTTGACAAGAGAAGATTCAGAGCCTCTGGCAATTAAGAGCTTCAATTGTCGTCAAAGCAGACAGCGGTTTGTGTGTGTGTGTGTGTGTGTGTGTGTGTTAGGCTCGAGGAAGGGTTAAGGGGGGTATCCACTTTGCAAATACACTAAAGAGAAAGAAGCAATTTGAAGGAGGAAGAGGAAATCAACAAGAAGGGGATGTAAAGTTATGTGCACCAGCAGAGGGTTAAGAGAGACATTTTTGCATTTTTATGGGCCCGATCGGTAAAGTGCCATTTCAGCAAAGTGGAGGGAGCACAGACCTCATTGAGACATTGCTTAGATCACAGGCCAAGAGATTGTCAAGTTCAGCACTTTTATGATTACCTCCGCTCATATTCACAATGCTTATGCATAAGTGTGCGCATGCACAACCACATACTAATACACACACATGCCCGTAAAGACGTCCACATATACACAGTCGCTTACACCGTCCATAATCACTTCATCAGCCTTGTACTGCCTGTGGAAGAATCAATCAATATTCATCTTGTGGAAGATTAGCATCAACATATAATTCTGTTATTAATATAGATAATAGTATAATGACGATGGGGGGGAAATAAACTCTGTGTGTAAAAGGCAAAGCTTTGAAAGTCCGTGTATCTGACCCTCACATACATATGGCGCTTTAGGGCTTCATGTGGTATAAGCAAAAAGATAAGATCATCATTATCTGATACAAATGGCTTACACCTTCACAGGTTGTTGGTGTTTAACCTCAGGGAGTCTCAATGTTTGGATGAGACTGGATTAGGAGGAGGATGAGAGAATGTGTGTGTTTCTATAGCAGTATTAGTGTAAAAAACAGTTAAAAGAAGTTTCAGTATGATAACTAATATCGAGTTAACCTACAAGTCCCGTTATTTTATTATTAACTTTTGATTAATGGTGGTACTTTTCAATGGTCTTTAACAGAGAGAATAGTATAAATAAATAATACAAAAGTGTGCCGAATTTCTGAAAGCTTGAAATAAGTGACTATGGCTCTGTGTCTGTGAGTGAATATGTGAGTGTGTGTGTGTGTGTGTGTGTGTGTGTGTGTGTGTGTGTGTGTGTGTGTGTGTGCGTGTGTGTGTGCGTGTGTTATTTCCATAAACACAAAGCTGGATCTGACTGTACCGTTTCTTCAAATATCAATTCAAAACAATAAACAGCAATGTAATCCATTCCATGGTTGAAACCATTTTACCGGAAAAACTATGAAACCTAAAATCAATTCATTCTGGAGCCTGAACGCGCTTTGATGTGTGATGATACTTTTATATTTCAGCCAAAAATAACTTTTGTGTCCATTGTACTAAATTAAAAGTCTCCCCCTCTACGTCGGATCAGCTGCTGGAAGTGTTAGCCTCGCTGACATCAGCTCAACAACAGCTCTGACAAAATCAACAGCTATAATCCCTGCCGAGCTGCAGGCCCACGGAGCATGCCACGGATTAAAGGGGTCCAGATCACCATGTGTCTCAATTTCATTTTTACTGGGCCGTGCTCAGTCATATTTTTATTTGAAATGTTTTCAATCACACAAGAATATAAAAGCTGCATCAAAGGTCTTTTGACCACATTTGATTCGAAAATTATTGCATAATGGAGCTTTTAATGTTTTCCGTGCAACATGTTCTCTGTTTCGCATTTGACAAATGAGTCCCTAATAGTTTTGAGTTTATGTTGTGGAAATGCCGTGGTACATTTGGCAAGTTTCTAAATGCAGACATTTGACTTCATGATAAACGAAACTGCAAACCAAACAGAAACATTTGGTTTTAGTTTAGTTTATTTGACAAGAAATCTCATCTTATTTGTCAAGCATAACTCAGGCAAATCCAAGACATATTACCTCCGCCAAGGAGGTTATGTTTTTGGTTCGGTTTGTTGGTGTGTTTGTCTGTTTGTCAGCAGGATTAAGGAAAAATGACTGGCCCGATTTCCATGAGCCAAAGAAGAACCCACTACATTTTGGAGACAATTGACCTTGGCGGAGGTCTGCACTCCTGGCATGGCCCTGTAGTTTCCACTGTGGTCCTCGATATAGAATAATTACACTTTGTTACAACAATAAAGAATCCCACAATACCAAAAACATACACTACTGCATGTTAACAAGTGAACTAAAGCAAAAAAACATCAGAACACGGCTGGTGTTTTGTCAAGAAACCACTTCTTGTCAGTCTTACGACAACTAACTGGATATCTGCCTCGATTTGACACCCAGTTTTGTCTATAAATATGTGACTCCCTCCTCTCTTTTCCTCACAGCTATACTGGCAGAGTTGTAGGAAATGGTCTACACGCCCAGAGGCAAAACCCGGAGGTCAAAGTTCGCAGCCCAAACCCTACACTGGCTGAGGTCAAGGAGAGGTTGGAGCTCTTCAACCAGGTAGGATGGCCATTGCACAGCATGAAGACATATCTCATCAATACATTTAAATATGTAGCATGTATTTTTGTACACATATGTATATTCATGTAAAGAATACAGGCTTCTGAAGTCATCCATGTCATACATAATCTGATACATCACCTAATGCCAAGGGGGCTTGCTACAATTACTGTATATGTCAGCAAGGACAACAAGAGCCAGTCAGATTAATAAAACGTCAAGAGTCTTTATTTGTATGAGAACAATTGTTTCCAGTATTAAAACTGACACCAGGTCAAAAATGATTAGTCAACCAAAGTATTATGTAGTCAAAAGCGCTGAAGTCTTAAATGGTGGGGCCTTTGTCTAATTAGTATGCCTCAAACAATATAACTTACTGACAGAAGTGCTGAAATGACATTGCCATTTTTCTTAAATCCAAAGACTTTGAGCGCAGAGGAAGATATCAAAGATAAATGAAAAGGATAAAGGGTGAAAGGGAATCGGTGCCAAAACAAAAAAAAGAAGTGATTTACTGTGGAAAGAAAAAAAAGAAAAAGAAAGATGTGAGGCGGGAGCAAAAGGTCAGGAATGAGTGACAGATAGGCAGAGGTGACACAAGCAGCTTCAAAGTGACACTGTTTGTCATGTAGATGGGGTTTAGGGCTGAAAAGGAGCAGGAAGAAAAGGGCCATTTCACACAGTCCCTAGAGGCCATTAGAGGAGACAAACGGACCAGGATTCGGTTCCCCTCTGCCTGTCTGCCCCTTTTGTTGCCCCAAAAATTGTCCACAGATAGTACACCGGGCATCTCTTTATCCTTCTTTCTTTCCCCTGTATTTCCCCTTAATGTACCTATTTGATTGCTAAAGTGTTTAATACAACCAGAAAACTTCATTGCCACTTTTCTGTTTTGCTAATCTTCCACCTTACGTCATGATAATTCTTTACCGTTACTTCCTCCTTTATCCCCTTCCATCTTTACTCTCACACCCATTCATTTACTTTCCATCTCCGTCTACGTGTGTCTCGTATCTCACGTATATACTGTATCTCCCAGCCAGCCTGTCCACCTGTCTGCCACTGACAGCTCAAGATCATTTCTGTCCGACCACAACACCCCATTGTGCGCGCGGTGGCTGTCAGGTGCCCTGTTGTCATGGCAACTATGCAGAGTCGAGCGGGTGTCCCGTTGACATTTAGTGGGTTGAAAGGCCTACCTTGATTCTAGACCAGGCACCAGAGCTTGGCTGAGCTTTGTGTTTGTGCCAGATAAGAGCGAAGGATCACAGAGTGTTTAACTGCATAATGTGGCAGGCTTTCCAAGGTACATCCAGAACAGTTAAACCAAGCGCGGGGATATATTTGGCCGTGTGTGTGTGCACATCTACATGCACACACTTTCTTTGCAAGAAGTTTGCTTAAAGTTTCTCTTCATAGATATTCAGAGCATCAATATAGCATCAAAAAACTATTTATAATGTAAAGATATATTAGAGTAATGTGGAGAGGATGAAGTCACTCCCCATTTCGGCCACCTCGCATGCCTCGTAGTGCATGTTAGTGCACGTGAACGTGCCCGCTGACCAACCCTCTGGTTTCCCCTCAGATTACCACTGTTAGTGCTGTTAGCCCTGTTAGCTGCAAGCCACCGGCTCAGCCATTGCCACATTAAGAGCGGTGTGGAGGCAACAGATATGCTCGGTATTTTGTATTGAGCACCTTTTAAAATCTAGTTCATTTCTGAATTTAAACATTTTAACTATTGGAACTCACCTGTGACTACTACTAACCCTGTCCAACATGAGTCACATCGATCAAAGTGGTTTTGTTCAGGTATTAGATCCTCCGCCAACACCTGTGATGGGCTAATACCATTCTGTCTCAAAAAAGCCTGCGTCACGTTTAACTGCTTCTTCTTTAAAGTACTTTTTAACTGACCAGTTGTGAAAATCGAAATGTCATTATCTCTCTCTATCTCTGTCTCTCTTTCCCTCCTGGCCTTTAGTCAGATATTCAGTTCGATAATTGTTATTTTAACATTATTGAAGTGGGTGGAAATCACAATCCTGTTAAAAATGCCTTAATACAAGCCGCATGGCAAATATCAGCACAATGATGTCACCTGTCTTGTGGTCTACTTTTTTTCGAGCAAACAAGGTCATCACTTGTCCCCGGCTCTCTTTATCCTCGCCACAGAGCCCTCAACAGATGTTTGGAGACAGGAGGACGAGTCAGTTCACAAAAGAAGTTCCTACTCAGATTGATTTTGGCAAGCCCATCTGGTTCCCTCTCCAAAATGCAAACTTTATTGGACGCCCTTGGTGCTTTTTAGGCTGTAAAGTTAATTGCAGTTCAATCAAGAGTGAGCAGTTTACGGATATAAAGCATTGTTACATCCATAGCATCCAAGCATCCATACAGTTTACATTTGTCTGTGCAGACTCCATAGCTTGGCACTGACTTAGCTCAGTGATTGTGAACATAATGTGTTGGTTATGTTAAGCTTAAACAATATTGACAAGTGGATGACAATTACTAATTAGCAATCACTGTGTGGATCCAGTGTGGATTAATGAGGGTAGCGGTTTTTGGCTTAGTGGACCAGAAAAGACCCCTCCTTGTTGCAATGCTGCACATCTATTCCCTCTGATTCTTGAGAAGTGCAGTGCACACAGTAGGTAGATGAAGGGGGACTGGGAGTATGGAGCAATACCAGCAAATATACAAAGCCGGCCTGGCTCTGCCTATTTCGAACGCTTGAAAGCTTGGCATTAATCAGCAAAACCTTCAAGCCCTTGCTGATACGTAATGGCGAGTTGGTAGAAAGAGCCGGTAAAGTGTTACTGATTACATCTTTAAATAAATGTATTACTTTGAACATCTGATCTGTTGTTATTAAACTGCAAGACTATTTCAAAGTCGGGCAACCCGCCACTGAGTCTAAAAAAAAACCTGACCTTGGCTGCAAGAAAAAGCTTAACAGGAAGGAACATTGTCATTGAGATGTTTCCCATGGACTAATCACACTGATGTCTCAACGGTTGTTCATTTTGGTTGTCTGTTGTGTGTTGCTGTACTTTTATCCTTGCGAAAATCACTTTGAGTTGCAGACGTTCACATCGAGGACATTTTTGAGAAGTTAGTCCTTTGAAGTTGCGAAGACTCATACAAATAGATCTATTTGAGGTTAAGTTTTGAATTTTGTGTCAGTGTTAAAAGTACTATTATGTGTCTCTGGATGTTTGTTCTTTCATCCTTGGAGCTAGTTTGGATTGTTGTTTTCGCTTAAAGTAATACACACACTAGATTCATTGAATTTACTTTTTACTTTTTTACTTTAAAGCTATTGCAGGTATTTCAATGAATCCCTAATCTGAGTTTTTTTCCCAGCTTTGAATAACCTCCATTTCCGGGATTAGTGAGGTTAAGACGGGTATATTTTTACCTAGTGGAGAGTAGTTAGACCCAGAGCACTGTGGCACTAAGAGGATTGGGAAACTGCTGCTGATGTATCACAAACCCCTCATCTACCCATGGCATGGGTGTCTTAAATCTGAATGCTTAAAGCACTCAGAGCTGCAAATGTGTGTGTGTTATAAGCACTATAACATTTGATTCACAGACATCCACAGCATGTGGTAGGCAGGTTTTTCAAAGTGGAAGAAGAAAGAGGAATCCTACACAGTTGCACTTTTGGATCAACACATCACCATGTAGAATCCAATATATAAAAGCTGGTATTAGCACAAGAAAAAGCACACAGGACAAGCCTAATCTCTTGACCTCCTATAAAACGGTCCATTAAGTGAGTAGGCCCAAGTTATGTTCCTCCCCTGTGTATCTCCTCTGACTATCCTCTTTCTCGCTCTCTTTCGCGCTGCCTGTAAATATTGCTAATGTGGACAATAAATGTTTCAGAGTGGATTTTTGATTCCCGGCCATCCGTCCAGCTGTTTTTGGGTGGGGATTTTTTTCACAATGGTCTATCTGTTTCCATGCGAGTACTGAGGCCAGATCATTTGTCAGTTTGTCAATTTGCACTCCGGTAAATGAAAAGTCGGTGGCAACACGCAGAACCTGGACACTCATTCTCACGCTTTATTTTTCGTCTCAATTTTTCTGTCGGACTTACACACGCACATACGCGCAGAGAGCATCATGAGAAATGGTGAAAGCTGTGGTGGACGGAGAGTCGGAAAAGACTCGAGCATAAAAATCCACCAGAGCGAGGCCAGTTGTATGTGTGATTGATGAGATCGATTGCGGCTTTGCTGTCTGGTTTGGCCAGTGGCCCGGCCAGGTTCCACATCAGAGACGCCTTGCTCGCGTTTAACACACACTCAGCACATCCCCTCTACGAATCCAGTCGATCCTCGGATCCATCAGCTACTGCAGCGACTCAGAATGAGTTAGTGAGTACGGTTTGTGCATGCTCTTTAGAAGACCACAAACAAAATACATGTTTTATGTTCCCTCCTGAAAAGTATGAGAAACCAAAAAGTTGGCTTTGTGACTTCTGCATGCCTTCACAGAATGTGTCTCTTTTATGTTTTTAGCAATGCCTGCAGCAGTCACAAAGTGTTTGAGCTTTAGAGAGTTAGTGGAGTCCAGGGATGAAGAAAGAGCTCGGGCTGAGCTGGCAGCCCGTCACAGGGAGGGGACAGATTCTTTCCACTTGAAGAAGATGGTGGAGCTGGCCTTCACAGGAGCTCTGCTGCTCTTTGCTGCTGCTGTGGCAACGATACAGCAACAAGTCTCACCGCCCAGGGCTCTCTGTTAGCTTGGCAACCAGACTTCGTGAACCCAGACTCTTAACTTCAGCATAACATTACCGTCATAATTAGATGCTAAGCTCATAAAAATACAGTGAACGGCGACTGTTTTTCCACATTGGGTCATATTTACTCTCCCAATGGGTGTCAGTTCCATGCAGACAGTGATTGTTGTCGTGGACCCATTGCTATTACTGGCACAAAATTATGGAAATCCCCACTTTTCAATGTGATACGATGTGC